CCGTGTTGGGCCTCTTGGGCGATCTTTGGGGGCACTTGGGCCGTCTCGGAAGGCCGAAAAAATGCAAACGCCACAATTCTTTCAAACATTCATGGGAAATCAATGATTTGGGCCTTGTCGGCCCTTCCTGGAGGCCCTCTTGGAGGCCTCTTGGGTCATCTTAGGGCCATCTTCGGCCGTCTTGGTGGGTTCCTGGCCCGTCTGACGCCGTCGGAAGTCGTTTGGGGGGCCTCTCTGGGCCGACTTGGAGCCCTCTTGGAATGCTCCAGGGCCGTCTTGGAGGCCATATTGGGCGTCTTAAAGGCCTCCTGAGCCGTCTTGGGGGCCTCTTGGGGCCGTCTTGGGAGCCTCTTGGTTCGTTCTGGTGCCATCTCGGAGGCCTCTTGAGCGATCTTTGGGCGATCTTTTGGGGCTTCGGGGCCGTCTCGGACCGTCGGAAGGCCGAAATGAACCAAATGTCACAATCCTTCAAACACCTTGGCGAAATCAGTGTTTTGTTTTACCTTTTCTGGCCTTCCTGGAGGCCCTCTTGGAGGCCCCTTGGGCCGTCTTGGGCCAGCTTCGAGCCAACTTCGGCCATCTGGGGGGGTTCCTGGCCCGTCTGACGCCGTCGAGAGCCGTCTTGGGGGCCTCTCTGAACCGGCTTGGGGGCCTCTTGGGGCGCTTCGGGGCCGTCTTGGAGGCCATCTTGGGCGTCTTGGAGGCCTCTTGGCTGGCCGTCTAGGGGGCCTGTTGGGCCGTCATGGGGCCATCTTGGAGGCCTCGTGGGTACTCTGGGGGCGATCTTGGGGGCCTCTTGGGCCGTCGCGAAGCATATGTCAACATCAATTAAAAACCAATGGACAACTAATGATTTGGGTCTCTTCGGGCTCTCCTGGGGGACCTCTTGGCACCCTCTTGGGCCATCTTGAGGCCATCTTGGAGCCATCTTGGCCCGTTTTCAGGCGTCTTGGACGATTTAGAAAGCATCTTGGACCCTCTTGGGCCGTCTTGGAGGCCATCTTGGACCATCTTGGGCGAACTTGGAGGCCATCCTGGGCCATCGTTGGCCGTCTTGGAGGCCATCTTGGGCCAACTTGGGGCAACAAAGGCATCGACGGATGCGTTTTGAGATCCTTCCCGGGACCCCGGCGGGACGCGCCGGGGCCCCAGGGGGAGATCTTTTGGAAAAGAACCAAAACCGAAATCATCTAGCACGCCAGGCACCCCTGCGATGAATCGACAGGTGGCGGCGGATCGAATGGCCTTCGGCACGTCCCACCACCGTGCCTGGGTTGCGGGTCTGAGGCCACTCGGATGGCTGATAGGGGTCTCGTGTGAGGCGTCTTGGATGCAGCTTTTGAACCTCTCGGAGGCCTCCTGGGGACCTCGTCGGAGCTTTTTACTGCCATATTGGGGCTCCCGGGGAGCCTGTTGGGGGCTTCTTGGACAACCCAGAGGCGTCTTACGGTGGAAGACTCGAGATGTCCGGTCGGGTTTCCCCTCCACGCCCCCTCTTCGGGTTGTCCTGGGGCCCTCCTGGGCCGTCTTGGGGACTTCTTGGGCCTTCTTGGGACCCGCTTGGGTCGCCTTGGAGCCCTCTCGGGGGCCTGTTGGCCCGTCTTGGGGCGATCTTGAAGGCCTCGTGGGCCGTCTGGAATGTTGTGAACGCCCAAGAAGCGAATGTGTTAAGCATGTCTTCCAAAGGGAATGGGATGATTTTTGCTTCTGGAGGCCCGTTTTGGATTGATCTTTCAGCGACTCGTGACCCTCGTGGACCGCCCCAAGAGCATCTTGGGGCTCTCTTGGCCTGTCTTGGGGCCCTCTGCCCCCTGGGCGCGATCATCCAGATCCCGGGGGACCCCCCCCTTCCAAATCGACCAGACCGCGCTCTCGGGGGAGGGGTTTGGGGAGGGGAAAACGTTTCACATGCCGATGAACCCCGAGGGGTCGGCGGATTATCGAAGACCCCTACGGCGAATCACCGCCGCCCCCTGCCTTTTTGGAAGCGCCTATGTGGCCGAACGTTGAGGCCAGACCTGCCAAGCTATCGGACCATGTGTTCCCCGAATCGGTTTGGAAAGCCTTCGGGGAACACGTGGGCATCTAGAAGGTCATCTTGGCCGTCTGGAGGCCATTTTGACCCTTTCGGGCCTTCTTGGAGGACGTCTTGGAGGGCTCTTCGGCCGTCTTGGAGGCCGCCTTGAGCGTCTTGGAGGCCTCTTGGCCCGTCTTGGGGGCCTCTTGGGACCGTGTCTTGGGCCTCTTGGGCGATCTTTGGGAGCACTCGGGCCGTCGGAAGGCCGAAAAACAAGCAAATGCCACAATCCTTCAAAAACTCATGGGAAATTCATGATTTTGGCCTTTTCGGGCCTTCCTGGAGGCCCTTTTGGAGGATCTTGGGCCGTCTTGGGCCATCTTAAGGCCATGTTCGGCCGTCTTGGTGGGCTCCTTGTCCGTCTGAAGCCGTCGGCAGCAGTTTTGGGAGCCTCTATGGGCCGACCTGGGGCCCTCTTGGAATGCTCCAGGGCCGTCTTGGAGGCCATCTTGGGCATCTCAAAAGCCTCCTGTGCCGTCTTGGCGCCCTCTTGGGGCCGTCTTGGGGCCCCCTTGGGCCGTTCTGGGGCCATCTTGGAGGCCTCTTGGGCGATCTTTCGGCGATCTTTGGGGGCTCTTGGGCCGTCTCGGGCCGTCGGAAGGCCGACAAGAAGGAAATGTCAAAATTCTTCGAACGCCTGCGGAAAATCAAGGTGTTTTGCCTTTTCTGGCCTTCCTGGAGGCCCTCTTGGGGGCCTCTTGGGCCGTCTTGGAGGCCGTCTTGGACCATCTTGGGCTGACTTGGAGGCCATCTTGGGCCATCGTCGCGATTTTTTAAGGATGTCCCGAGCGAAACGGCCGTTTCAGGCATTGACTGATGCAGTTTCCGGGTGGCCGGCGGGACGTGCCGGAGCCCCAGGGGGAGTTCCTTTGGAACAAAAAAACAAAAACCAAAACCGTAATAGTCTGGCACGCCAGGCACCCCTGTGATGAATCAACAGGGGGCGGTGGATCGAAGACGCCTACGGCGAATCACCGCCGCCCGCCTTTGTGGAAGCGCCTATGTGGCCGAACGTTGAGGCCAGACCTGCCAAGCTATCGGACCATGTGTTCCCCGAATCGGTTTGGAAAGCCTTCGGGGAACACGTGGGCATCTAGAAGGTCATCTTGGCCGCCTGGAGGCCATTTTGACCCTTTCGGGCCTTCTTGGAGGACGTCTTGGAGGGCTCTTCGGCCGTCTTGGGCCATCTTAAGGCCATGTTCGGCCGTCCTGGTGGGCTCCTTGTCCGTCTGACGCCGTCGGCAGCAGTTTTGGGAGCCTCTATGGGCCGACCTGGGGCCCTCTTGGAATGCTCCAGGGCCGTCTTGGAGGCCATCTTGGGCATCTCAAAAGCCTCCTGTGCCGTCTTGGCGCCCTCTTGGGGCCGTCTTGGGCGCCTCTTGGGCCGTTCTGGGGCCATCTTGGAGGCCTCTTGGGCGATCCTTGGGCGATATTTGGGAGCTCTTGGGCCGTATCGGGCCGTCGGAAGGCCGAAACGAAGCAAATGACACAATCTTTCAAAAACCTTCGGAAAATCACTCTTTTTGGCTTTTTGCTGGCCTTCCTGGTGACCCTCTTGGAGGCCTCTTGGGCCGTCTTGGGCAAGCTGCGAGCCACCTTCGGCCATCTTGGTGAGCTCCTGGCCCGTCTGACGCCGTCGGAAGCCGTTTCGGGTGCCTTTCTGGGCCGACTTGGGGCCCTCTTCGGGTGCTCCAGGGCCGTCTTAGAGGCCATCTTGGGCGTCTTCGAGGCCTCTTGGGCCGTCTTGGCGCCCTCTTGGGGCCGTCTTGGGGGCCTCGTGGGCCGTCATGGGCCATTTTGGAGGCATCTTGGGCGATCTTGGGGCGACCTTGGGGGCCTCTGGGGCCGTCACGGGCTGTCGGAAAGCCGAAAAAGCGCAAATACAAAAATCCTTCAAAAACCTACGGCAAATCAATGATTTTGGCCTCGTCGGGCCTTCCTGGAGGACCTCTTGGGACCTCTTGGGCCGTCTTGGAGGCCTCTTGCGGGCTTTTTGGGCCGTCTTAGACCATGTTGGGGCCATCTTGGGCCGTCTTGGATGCATCTTGGGGCCATCTTAGCCGTCTTGGAGGCCATCTTGGCTGTCTTGGAGGCATCTTGCAGGCCATCTTGGGCCATGTTCGCGATTTGTTGACGATGTCCCGAGCGAAACGGCCGTTTTGGGCATCGACGGACGCAGTTTACAGGTGGCCGGGGGACGCGCCGGAGCCCCAGGGGGAGTTCTTTTGGAAAAAGAACCAAAACCAAAACCGAGAGGATCTAGCACGCCAGGCACCCCTTTGCTAAAGCAAAAGGGGGCGGCGGATCGAATGGCCTTCGGCACATCCCGCCACCGTGCTTAGGCTGCGGGTCTGAGGCCACTCGGCTGGCAGATTGAGTCTCGTGGGAGGCGTCTCGGGGGCGTTTGGGAGGCAGTTTTTGAACATTCCAGGGGCCTCCTGGGGGCCTCTTGGGTATTTTTGGGGGGTCTCTTGGAGCTCCCCGGGGGCCTGTTGTGGGCTTCGCGGGGCAAACAGGGTGGAGGAAATGGGGCGATATTTTTTTTCTTTGAGGCCGTCTTGGGGCGCGTCTAGGGCTTCTGTGGCGTCTTGGGGGCCTCGTGGCCTGTTTTGGGGTCCTCTGTCCCCCCGTGACGCGTTCCAGCGGTCCCCCCTCCAAATCGACCGAACTGGGCTCCTGGGGGAGGGGTTTGGGGAGGGGGAAGCGTCTCACACGCCGATGAATCCCAAGGGGTCGGCGGACTCCTTGTTTGGGCTCGCTGGGACCTCCCGATCGAATGCTTTCGGACTAGGCGGCTGCGTGGCCGGAGCCAGAGGGTTCATTGTCTTCCCGATTGTGCCGGACCCCGTTGCCCTTGCCCGCTCTCCTCCTCCTGGGACGGTGCGTTTCTGCCCCAATCCAGGGCGCCCCAGCGATGGAGCCCATGGACGAGCCCGTGCCGGGCGCAGGCAGCGAGGTGCCCGCGCTGCACATGGCCGCGTCTGGACAGGAGGACTGGGGCGTGTCGGAGCCCGTGGAGGCGCAGCCCCCGCACCCGCCGAGGGGAAGGCGAGTAGAGGAGGGGCGGCGTTGCCCTGGAAGGGGAGGCTCGCAGGAGGAAGAGGTGCCGACACCGCTGCCCTTCTCTTGCTCTCGCCCTTTTTCCACAGCTCGAGGAGCAGAAGGCGAGGCAGGGGGAGGAGGAGGAGGAGGAGGAGGAGGAGGAGGAGGAGGAGGAGGAGGAGGAGGGAGTTGGAGGGAGTTGGAGGGAGGAGGAGGGAGGAAGGAGGAGGAGGAGGGGAGGAAGGAGGAGGAGGGAGGAGGAGGGAAGGGTCCTCCTTTGGCCGAGGACGGAGGTCGTAGGAGAGCGGGTCGAACGTCGCGGTGGGGACCACCCGCAGGGCCCGCGGCGGAGGGGCTTCGCATTGCTTGGGGGCACGTGGTGGTGGAGGAGGGAGGTTCCGGGTTTGGGTCGACACGGCCGAGTAGTTGGAATGTTTGGCCCATCTTGCCAGTGGTCAGCTGGGCACACGGGAAACAGCCGATCAGCATCCCTCACCAGTCATCAGCATCGTCGTCGTCGTCGTCGTCATCATCATCATCATCATCATCATCATCATCATTATCATCATCATCATCATTAGCAGCAGTATCATCAGTCCATCATCAGTACCATCATCAGCATCATCATCATCATCATCATCATCATCATCATCATCATCATGATCATCATCAGCAGCAGCAGCATAATCATTAACATGATGATCATCATCAGCAGCAGCAGCATCGGAATCATCATCATCAGCATCATCAGCATCAGCAGCATCATCATCACCATCATCTCTGTGTTCGCGAAAATGCTCCCATTCATGCTCTATCGCGCCCTGCACCCCTGCGAGCCGTCTCAGACTCCCACTTCCAATACAGTTATTTCCCCATGCCATTCCGAACATCTGTGACCAGTGCCTGCGCCAGCGTCCCGAAAACAAGCCTTAGCTGAGCATCCTGCTCCAACCCAGATAAGCAACCCAACGCCATCACCCCCTTTGCCCGATGTAGTCGACATTCCGAACCTCGTATTAGGAACGGGACGCGGCGCACACCGCTCGCGAGAACGCGAAGCGTCACTCCGACGGCGGCTGTCTACGGCAAAAGCTGGACACATGTGGGTTACATAGTCTTTGCCGTACGGGAATTCGCACGCCAAAGTGTGCGCGCGGCAAGTTGGCGTTCGCGCGTGAATAGATCATTGCAAAAGGTTCTGATTCAAGCGCATGCGGTACGCAAGCGCATGGACGGGGAATCCGCTATATTGAAAGCCAACGCAAGCGCAACATCACGTTCACCTTCGCATCCCATGCTGGCCAGAAGCTCTACAGCGAGAAACCACACGTGTCCGGACTATGTCTATTCACCGCCCGTTTCCAAATTTGTCGGGGGAACGTACTGTATCGTATCCGTTGTTTCGCTTGAGTTCGCTAACTACCACATGTATATCTCCACTCCTGCTACTCATGAGCATAATCGTATGCGTTTTCTTGCGCACACAAGTACTCGCACTCGTAGCCATACCCGCGCTCATTCTAGCAGTAGTCGTACTCGCGCTTCGCACTCACGGGCGTACGCGCACACGCGTATGTCTTAAGAGTCGTAACTTTGACCGTCTCAATTGAGTCCACGGTCGGCACTTCAGAGCGGCCATCGGCGTGAAACGATGGGTGGATTGTGACGGATGCGATCGTGATTGTGTCGCCAAGCGCGGGGGCGGCTTGGCCTGGACATTGAAGCTTCGAGCGCAACGCAGCTGGTGAATACTTGTCGGTCAGGCGTTGAAGAGCAGAGCCGCCTCATTCGGGGAGGGTACCCTAATGTCCTTCGGGGTTGAAGGATGGTCTTGTGCATCCTTTGGGAGGACACCCTCGAGTGACCTTATGTTCGGTTTGGGTTGTTTTGGCCGGCGGAGGGTCTCATCTGCTTGAAGGGTGCTATTCTGTCCTAGGTCCGGCCAGGCAGCAAGCGGGCTCCCAGGGTTCACGTGGCATTACAGTACATTGCCAAGACTCACTGTCGAATCGAGAATGTGGTTGCCGCGCGGCTGGCCAAGAGTGCGTTTTTGTCCCCAACGTTTGACGGAGCTAATCGTAGCACGATAGATTGTGGCAACGATGTCCAGCTTAGATTTCGCTCTTACGGACCGCACAACACCAACCTCAACATCAGAGGTGCCACGGGCAGCAATCACGCGCGTCTCATCCAATCCCTCATTTCGGCGAGACCCGCCCACTCGTTCGACCAGGACATGACTCGGATCTCTGAGCTGTCTGGTGCGCCTTATGTTGGGGACCGCGGTACCGTGACGAACTTCGAAACGCCCGCGGCATCAGAACGAGGTGACGGCCGTCGATCGACGATTGAGGCACGGGGGGACCAGCATGAGGAAGACG